TAATTTTAGCTTTGAGTATACTATACAATGTATTAGCTCCTTTACGTGCCCACCTTAAAAAAAATTTTAAATTACTTAACTCGTACAAGGTTAGTTGTGTTAGGAGCCTCTTTCACGGTGATTAAGCTGTTACAACAGTCAAATAATCAAGGAACCCCTATACAGTGTCAGGTGTGTGGACGAATTTTTTAAGCCATAAAATATTTATTATAATAAATAAAGTAAAAAAGGCAATGGTAGAACCTAAATAAGTTTTAAACGCCAACAATTTATAAACTTAATAATTTCGTTCTTTTCATAATGGAGGACATTAAATTTTTATAAATATTTTACGCCACTAGCGTTAAGTTCTTTATTAAGCTAATGTCAAGTTGTTAAAAAGGCGTAATCGTACCTTCAAATGACACTTCTAACACTATACCTACCAAAAGCTCAATTTATAGTATATTTGCTTTCAGTATCCGTCCGCTAAACTGTTTATTTTTTTTAACTGTCTTCATACTTCCGAAATGTTTTAGGTGTGCTCTATTGTGGTTGGGTCTTTTGAGATGTTGCTAATTATGTTGTTGCCTCTCCATATTGCAATAATATATTAGCAAGAAAGTATAAGTAGCTAAAAAAAAATGGTTTTTATGAAAAAGCAGTTCATCTATTTTTTTTTTAAAATGAAAGCAAGTGGTGTGTTTATCTGCGCTATAAGTGCGCGGTCATCACTTTGCTAACACTTCTATCATTTCGACTTTGTGAAATACAGGACACTCAGCAGTTTATTATAGGCGCAACTCTCATGTAAAAAATATATTGCCGACTTTAATTTTAAGAGCTTCTCTGCATAAAGTACATCTAGATTTGTTGAGTACCTTTTAGTATTTAATCGTAAGCAAAAATGTCGGCTGCACTTGATAATTACAACAGCGATGTCAATTCTTGGCAATGTACGAAAGCTACACTAATATTATAATGTCGAGTTACTAGTCCCGAAACGCTGAAAAGTTCTCCAAGGGGTTTTCCCCTAATAACTTTTTCCTTGCTCTGAAGCGTACATTACAATGTGTAATGCTCTATCGATAAACTATATTTTTTAGAACTATCAGGTTACCAAAATTATAAGGTTTCGTGCCACCTGAATTTAATTTTACAAAGGTTAGTATCTTAAAACTTAAAACGTTTTCAATACTTTTTTGAACAGCGCTTAATAGCTCTTAGACTTAACAGTGAACCTGTTAAAGACCTATTTAAGTGTTTAAGGTTTCTTTCATATTTGTATATTAATAGTATTTCCTAGTGCTTGCGCGGGTCTTATAAGAAAACACAGAATTTACGAGCTCCCAACAGGTGATAAAGTACATATTAGCTTTATGCTTGCGTTAAAGCAATCTCATATATATTAAAAAATTATTATACTAGTGACCTTTATTATATATAGAGCCCATCCCGAGGTCAGCAATAGCGTGCACCGCCCCAAATTTCGTAATTGACCTTGCTTGCCAGTAAAACGTTTGATGTGCTGATTATTCGTAGGGGGCGTTAGTATTGCGCCGAAAAACGTTACCCATAGGTTCAATCTGAAGGTCTTGGTGTAAGGCATCGTTGCGAACAAACCACTACGCACTCGTCGTAAGGCGTAGCGGCATGATTGTTTCACTTGATGCGAAGAGACATCGCCGGCGAGTCGTAGACCCCAAACAGTAAACGCGTATGGCATGATCGACCGGATACACAACACATACGCGTCGTTTCTTGTGCAACCAGAGTTTGCTTTGGGGATAAAGTGAAGGATAGAGAGGGTGAACCGCTGTCTTGACTTTGGCCGCAATATAATTTACGTTTTTGGTCACCATGAGAGCTTACTGAGAGTTACTGTCAATAATGACCCCTTATTTGGGAGGTCAGAGGCAGTAAAGGTGTGTTGCGCTTCTTCGTGATGAAAAAGGCTTTGCTCTTTTCCGCATTCATAGTAGTTTTCAACGACGACAACAGTTGGCAAGGGTCATTTGATAGTACTGCTGATGCTGGCGCAATAAGGGAGGGGCTCTGACGAGGTATAAATCGCCGTATGCTCCGCATAAAGTGCAAAGAAAAGGGGCGATAGAAGAGATCCCTGTGGAACTCCGGCTCTTAGTGGCCTTAGAGGTAAACGCACATCGCCCACACATATACTAAGGCCGCAGTAAAAAAAGGACAGGAAGGATTATGGCGCGCGATAATGAAGCAAGCCCTTGTGCCAAACTAGGTCAAAAGCTTTATCGAATTTAAGATAGATGCCCCTTTTTTAAAATTGAAGGCACGGGTCTTTCACTCTTTTAGGCGAAGGAACTATTGCGTCTTAGAGTGTCCTAGTCCAAATCCAAATTTGATCTCTGGCAGGGCGTGGCTTGTGTCGACAAACACCTACAAGTGACTGAGAAGCCTTATTTGCTTGGCATAGTTGCAGGTCTTGCCGTCTTCCAGAGCAATGGGAAGGTACCAAGAGCCATCAAAGAGTTGAGGAGAGCATAAACGTTCTACCGCCACCATTGGTAATTGCTTTAACATCACGTGATACCGTTCGGGGCTAGTTGCTTTTCGTCGATGAAGCGTTTATAATCTTGGTATCAGCTAATGGTGATTAACTCAAGCTGTTCCTCAGTATCAGCTGAGAAGTTTGATTTACAAAGCACCCTAACGCAACTAAATAATCAAGTACCATTCACTGTGTCGCATTGTCAGCCTCATTTACCGCCACAAAGTTGTCGTCTCGTATGGTAGGTAGTGGCAAAAATGCGCTCGATTTTTGTAATTCCTAATAAACTTATAGAAGAGTCGCGACCTCACCGTTATCTTCCGATATATTACTTAATTTTGTCCCAGATCGTTCCTAATGCGCCGGTGTGTCTATTAAGCGCTAATTCTTTTTTGGGGTGTGGTCACACACCGAGGCCACTCTACTAAGATATCGTCGCTCGAGATAAGGGCTTTCTTTTTTCAGTACATTGTCTTTGCGAAAAATGTTAGGGTGAGGTATGTCTACTCTTTTTCGGCTCTTTGTAACTACTCATTAAAACCTTCTTTCTCCGTTGTATGAGAGCGTTTGCAATTTATTTGAAATTAACATGTTTTACCTATCGCTGTACGGAATAATTACTTTTGGTCTCTACTTCTGTCACGACATAAAAGACTGAGTTTCCCCCTTATGCCCTCCTTGCTACTGTAAAACCTACTTCGCCCACCAATATTAGACTTCCCTTTTAATCCAACATAAGTCTTGAGTTCGTTTCGCAATAAATAAAACTTCCTTTAATAACATTTACTTTCTATTGAGTATTCAAGTTTGTCCTTTTTAATGAACAGTTTTATAAAGCCAAAATTCTATTTACGGTGCTTGACGAACCCATTGGCCAGCTGACTTTTAAAACGGCCATGACAGTTTCTTCAAGTAAGGAAAAAGTCTTCGTGCACCAAGGGGCGTACCTGATACTATAACACAACTATTAACGTACAAAGGGAAGTACACCTAGATTGTCTGCTTTATAGTTTTTCTCTTTATCGACCATAATAGCAACGTTTTTGCAGTATAACACTAAGTTCGACATAAGAATTTTTTTAACTGCTTTTACATAACCAGTCTTATAGACTAAAGTACTTTTTATTAATTAAAGTTGAAATAAGTTTATCTCGTATTTGAAATAAATTAGTACCCTAACACTTGCAGTGGCAGAGACAATGGTACCCGTAAAATTGTACTTAAATTCAGTCAAGCATCTGTTTTCAATTGACAACGATGCATTAGACAAAATTTGGAACCCCGGAAATTGTAAATTGTTAAATTAAATAATCGATCGCAAATTGTGTTGCGCTATTAAGTTCATAGAAATAAAAGTTGACAAAAAAAAAACTGAGATTTAGCATGCTGACGTGTGCGAGATAGCCGGAAGCTGATTTTATAAGTAACGCTTAAGGGTTTTAATTGGACAAATAAGTCAGGAATAATTTTTTTTACTATGCCGTATCTTTTAAACTTTTTAAAAATCAAACAGGATAGATATCGTGACAAGGGATTACGAAGATGTTTATTTAGTGTGTTGCAAGTGAAAAACAAAAAAAGCGTTTTATGACCTAATTGGAGAGGACAACTTTAAAAAATTCTTATTCCTGCAAAAATCCGTAGATTGGTTAGGAAAGGTTAATAAGGAATCAGGCAGTGTATAAACAAAAACAGGTTTTAAAAAGGAAGAGATTGATGGAGCGAGAACTGCTTAGAGGAGATGCAGCTTTGGGAATCACCTGCAGCGTCACAGCAGCGCGCCTTCTTAAGTTCACTGAAATAGTGCCGAGGGCCATTGTTAAGTTAAGAAGGCAGCTTAGACGTTTCATTGAAGCCAATGCCACGGGTTCCAACTTCGCATTGGTGTTAGAAAGCTCGGTTTAATGACTTACTCTATAACTTAAAAGTGCAAGTAGCACATCGAGAAGATCAAAAAGTTTTGCTTTGTCCGCGTTGCTCTCGGCTTTGCCTTAAGCAGAGATGGTAGAGATAAGATTTTATTGTACCTTTTAATAAACTGAAAAAAAAAAGGGCGACCGTCGTGGCCTTTTGGGCTTCCAACTGTTGGTTTTGTTGCGCTACTCTAGCGTCTATCAGATGTCAGCAATGACTCCATGGCTAACGTGGATAGACTTCGACACTCGCAGGTAAGAACCTTTAGTCCGTCAGTCAGAAGATTGGGAAAATATGTAACTTCGCGTATCTCCTGTAGTGCCAGACGTGGTAAAAGAGTCTTTCGAAGGTGTACAAGTCGATTCAAATTACAATATTAACGAAAGGGCTTCTAGAAATGTGGAACAGCAGGAAGAGGATGGTGATTGATGGTTGGCGCACCACCGTTGGATACACGACACACTCGTTTTGTGAATAGTTCGATTTTGTGAGCTGAAGTGCTTATATTATGATTAATGCTTAGTTATTGGTTTTGCTGTACTATTTTAGAGGTATATGTTTTACAAGTACATAAGAATTTATCATGACAGATCCCCTGTCTTTGCTACGAGAATTTAATATCAAAAAGAAAAAGGTATACGTGGATGGCACTCACTTAGTTTTTGGAAACTTAACCTGTCCCAGGTCCACAGAGACAAACTTTAAGGTCAATTTCTCTGTAAAATATTAAAGTTAAAAAGCTTTTTTTAGTTCATATCTTTTAAACTATACATACTCCTTCTTTTAGCAACAATCGCGTTCCAAATATTACACAATTGAGTCTATATGGTTTTTTTTAAAAAATATTGATGTCCCTCACTTAAAATACGTTCTTCTGGCATCTAACGAAAGTTATTTTCTTTTTTTACATTTTTACTTACATTTTTATATTAAATAAAATATTTTCAGAAATTAATCCAGTTAGTCTTCCGGACAGAAATTTACTTGCCCAATATTTAAGAGGGCAGATTTCTACTTGTAAAAGTATTGATCCCAATAAATTTCCGGGAGTGCTAACGAAAGTTTATAAGAGACAATCAAAAGATTTAACCGAGATTTCGGAGCCTCAGGTTTTCAATTGGTTATAGAGCTGGGTTTAAAAAAATTTATATAATTTTTCCTCAGATTTTATTCATATTTTTAAAATCATATAGGCCCCATCTCAGAAACTTCTAAAGGAAAAATTTTCACTTATTGAACAATCAGAGGATCAATCAGTTAGCACCGTTAAGTAATTTTGTTTGTGTTATATACGTTTGTCATTTTAGACTGCACTTTCTCTACTTTTTAATCTGAAGACCACTTAGTGAAAAGTTAACAGCAGAGAAAATCTTAGAGCTTAAGGCTCACCGGCAGGCTCGAAAGCAGTTAACTGGCGGGAAGACGGATGCAGAGGACTTAACAATAGTAACTGTATTATTTTTACTGCTGCTTAGTTAAATTTTTGTCTTTTGTAGGGGTCTAGTTTTATACAAACGGACGCCTCAATTTCGCAGAGGATCATATCTCTGGAGCGCTCTTTTCACACTCGCGATTCTGTTATGATGGCGCAAAGTTTGGTTCTCTTGTTCTCGCGCTTTTATTTAGTGATCACTTACGCTTGTAGTTAGCGGTTTGATAAAGATCTCCTTCCATTCCGGAAAAACCAACTGAAGGCAGAACCTGCGCCCCTCGCTGAAACCTGGAGTCTTAGCGGAGGAAGACGAGTATACTTAACTTGTATTTGTTTTTGGTCTAAATGTGACGGTCAGTACAACCTTTTTCGGTTGTGATTTTCTTTTAATACTCGCTTTGCTGATACCAAATTTCTTCTGGTTGTTTCTTACGACTTTTTAAGCTGATCTAACTGGAACCTATTCCCTTGAAGGTTAAGAAAATGTACGACAGATACGATGTTTCAGAGGATCGGCATTTTCAGGACAAAGGAATTGGTTTGTTTTGTTAATTTTAGAGTTTCTCCCTTTTTTTTACTTTAACTCTGCGTTGCTACAAGGCGTGGAAGACTTCCAAATTGATACCCGCGGATCGCACATGGCGCCGTTGAGCATCCTTTCGCCGCATAAAGAGGTGATCAAAACTTAATAGATATACAAGTTTTTGGGGAAGAAAAGGTTAAAGTGTTTGAGCTAAAGGATACTGCAGTACAGGAGTTTGCCGGGAACAAGAGCGACTCCGTTAAAAAAAGTAAAACCGGTGTAACAACCTGAATCGGCCCTTCAGTTTTTCTCCTATTGATCACTTTAAATTTATTAAGGTTCCCGGGAGAACACCATTCCGATTATTATTGTTCCGTCTGCTCCTACTTCATTGTTGACCATTTTCAACGTCAAGGATTTTCTGGAATCCGGCATGTTCGTTTAAAGCGCTTCCTATATCCTGCTGTCTCATATTGTAGTAACTGCTGCTTTTACAGCTTTACACCTTCCAGTGAAGCGAGGGCGGCTATGGGACAGAAGCCCCCGATGGTCGTTGTATACCGCAAAATGCATGGCGGGCGGACGGTGCCCTTCCATGTGTACGACCAGACCCATAAGTTCACTCAGGAGCAGTGGTGCTTGCGTTTATCTTTTCTACGCTTCTACCGCCGGTATATTTTTTCATTCTCCTTTCCAGGGACCGGGTGTGCGCCATCTTCATTGTGGGCATGGCCTGGCAGTTTAAGGGCTTTCCCTTTAATTCCGATGCAGTCAAAAACCTCAACAAGTTTCGCGGTTACTTCTTGGCCTTTAACGATCCTCTGTTTACTATTCCGGAAAACATCCACAAGTGGGACGTGTGCGTGCTGAAGGTGCCGCCTTCTTAGCACTCAAAGCTTTCCCAGCTATGAACTTTTGATTATTAGGTAAACAAACGCGATCGAGATATTGATGCAACCGCCTACACCGAATTCTGGGAAGACTTGGATAAGTTTTGGTCTCATCGGACGGGGAAACCCATTATGAATTGATTTTAATTATTAAACCTTTTCTTATTTTTTGTTTTTACACCTTAATTTTTTTGTAAAATTGTACTCCGAAGAATCTTTATTATGTAGCCGTGCGAGTATTTTGAACATTTTGGAATCACTTTATTTCCTGTCAATACTTGGCTCTTAATACTATTTTGAATTAAAACTAATTAGCCATAACAGTTTCACATGCCTTCAGTATTGTGAGTACCAAGCTTAAAGATTTAATGAATTAATTAGACAAGAATGGGCTGCTTCAATTGTATTTTGGCATTGCCATCCTTTGTTTAAATAATCTGCCCTAATCTTAGCTCCTTTAAGTTATTTGTACGAACAATTTCCGTCTATAAGAAGAAAACTTCAAAGAATGAACAGGATCGAAACCTTCTTCCGGCCTGGGTCGTTAAGTATTTAAGGTTAGATACAGTTTTCTTTTTTAAAAAAAGCTTTCTATCTAGGATAGGGTCTAGAGCCTTACTAACCTACTTTTTTTTACTAAAAGGGTCATCTTTTGGCTTAAGCTAGGTTCGCCTTTATTGGAGGAAGCCAGTTCTGTGCCTTCCAATTTTTAGGTTGGCTTTGTTAAACTAGTAAAATACTTCGCAAAATCGACAGAACTTCTGTTTTTTTTTATTCGAAATAAGTCTCAGTGAAACAAGCTCTCGATTACTGGTCATCTTTTTTTATACCATTGGGTCGGTTGAACTTCAGCAAAGTAACAGTATCCTTCGAGACACTCTTTTGAACCGAGATTATATGGGAGGTAAACCATCTGGGAAAGGTTGTAGAGGCTATAGATTTCTAATCAGCTGTGTTGTGTAACATCTATCTTCAAAAATACACACTTTCTCCTGATCCAACTAAAGGGGAGCCTAAATATTAGTAAACCTCAAAGGCATACTTATATGAGCAGGCAAACATCTTTTAATAACTTTATGTTAAAGGCGATTAACTAAACGGGATACAAAAACTTCGCTATAAAGTGTATGTAGTACAACCCAACTTTGACTGTAATAATTACTTTCGACAGTACCTCCTTCCTAGATATAATGACTTCAATTGATCCAGTTGATTAAACTAGAGTTTGAAGAAACCGTAACAGTTTAGCAGAAATTAATACATGCAAAATATAAGAATCGTTCCTGATAAGAGCAATTTTGACAGAAAAAAATATTTTGTAATATAATTTAAAAGTTTTTCTTTAGTTAAAAATCTTGGAAATAGTATTAAGAAAATATAGCTAGGGTTCTTTTGTTGAGTTTTGTCCATAAAACATGTATAAAGCTTTGGTTTTTGCCTAGTCTTCCCTAACTAAATAGCTGTATAAATACTGACCACTTTGTTGTAGCTTTGAATTTAGTTCACTTCCTTTCATATGTAAGTGTTGAAGTGCCTTCTTTCTTTCGATATAGGAATCTTGCGTGTTTGACTTTTAAATAAGGTAAATACAGCCGACCTAAAGCCCATAAAAAGCCTAATCAAACTAAGTTAAAAAACCAAATTTCAACTACTTTTACAAAGGATTCAAGAATAGCTTGAGTGTTTAGCTTAATTAAGTTAGTTCCTAATACTAGTAAGTAGCCTTATTACAAAATACCTTTCGCTCAGAATAGGAGTATAAGAAAAACTCAGTTATTGCTTGGTAGTACAATGTTAGAATTACTACACAGGAACTGGGTTCTTAGCCCTACTTAAAGAACCTAGAGAATGATTAACAGCATTGGGTGGCAACACTAACTTTTCTAAATTACCCTATATTGCGCGATTAAGGTTCACAGCACAATTACTCACACAGAGTAGAAAAAATAAATCATTCTATGTTGCGCTCGATCATTCCTTTGGGACTTAGGAACCTCGCTTAGACTGCAACCACCGCGAGGTAAGGTGGTAGCACCTTTATAGGTCAGGTCAACTGCGCAGATTTGGCTCTTATAGTAGTCTACTGTTTTGCTCATAACTTGGAAGCTTTTATTTAGCGGATACAATCTTTAGAGGAAAAAGAATTTTTTTTTTTTATTTAAAGTGGTCAAACGCAATACGCGTCAGCTTAAGTGGTTGTATCTTTGCGAAAGGGACATTAACAATTTGTTAACGTAGAACCTTCTTACCGGAGTCGAGAGTTGTCGCAGTAGCTCAGCAGTTAAGGGCACTGACGCGCATATTCAACACCGTAGGCCGATTCCAACCGACTCGACTCTCTTAAGACCTTGGATGTCCTATATCGCAGGTATAGATTTTAAGTTTTAAGTTTTCAACTTTAAGTATATACCTGCGAAATGAAACCCCCTTTCCTTGAGATGTAAGACCCCAAAAGGATAAACATCGTGTCTTTCATGAGCAAGAGATATGTCTATGTTTAGCTTTTAGATGGAAAGGCACGTATAAAGAGAGGAATTAACATTAACGTAGACTGAAAGTCTGTGACTTCATAGGGTTCATAGTTTCACTAGATGGATATTCCTTGCACTACAGCTTTTGTCCAACTTAGTACTTGAAACTGCCTTTGACACGAAACATTTTAATAAAGTTATCTTCTTAGTCAAGTCTTGGCTTTGGGTCAAAATATAATGCATTTAAATTAGGGTTCTTAAGCGCGGATCGAAAGGCTCACTTCAAGAATAATGTTAAGTTATTGTATTTTGCTAGAATTTTCGGCAGGTTCCACCATATTTGTGTAGCTACAAGGGCATTCTTGGGGTAAAGAACATTTTATATAACTTTTGTGGCATTTGTGTGATTTAGAGTACTCAAGAGTTTACCCTGCATCTTATTTATTTCAAACAGTGTTCTTTTAATAATATTAGAAATGGTTTATATCTGCCGTCCTCTAATGTGATAGTGAACCCGTTTATTCTATACCTTTGGACTACGGAAAGCACTCTGACCTACACAGAATATCTTTTATAACTAGACCTTGTAAAAAAAATTCGATTGAAATTTTTTATAAAAATCTCACTTTAGAAACGTATTTTTTTAATGGTCTTATTCTATAAGTTAAGAATAAAACTCAATATTACCTCGAGATAACATTTTTTTAATATTTAAAATTACTACACTTAACTTAAGCCAAGCAGTTTTATAAAAACAAATATTTAGAAATGTTATTATATATATAATTTTAAGAATCTGTTTATTTATTAAAAGCTTCCTTAATTTGCTTTTTCTTTTCATCTTTTAATTCGATCCCGCGGTGCCGTACTTTTTTGGCTAATTGTTGATGAGCTCTAATCACTCGGGTGAGTAATGCAAAGCCATCACCCATCAATTTTTCAAGGTGCTCCTAATTATGCAATATTTTTTTATTTTACTAATTAAAATCTTTTAATTAAATTTTTTTTAAAAAAACTTTTAGATTTAGTAAAAGCGTTAACTTGCAGGCTGCAAATCTTTTCATACTTTTACATAACTTATAGCAAGAGATTTAAAAATTGTTAAATAGTTTATAATACTGGAAATGTAAGATAAGTATTAAATTAATTATATAATTAGCGTTTACGGAACTTTTATACATAACTTAGAGAGATTTTTTGATTAGCACAAACGCTTTATAGCTATTAGTGAAAATTTAATTAAAAACTTAGCGAAAAATATAAATTACTGGGAGAATGCCCACAACGTAAAGACTTTATTTTTATAGAAATTCTGATTTACAAATATTTTTAAGCATTTTAATTAAAATTATAACTTTAACAAAGAAGCCTTACTAGCAATTAAATTTGGAAATAAAAGATTTTTACTAATTATATATAATAAATTAATTTTATTAATTATTAATTTTATAAAAAATCAAGTTATTAATCAATAATTAATTTACGAATGCATTATTTTTGCAATCTTTTCTAATTTTTTAGTAAATAGTTTCTTTTTAAACCAGTAATTATAAAATACTGCGGATCTAATTTTGGTTATCATTAGATTCTGTTAATATAATTACTATTTACTTAATTTTTAAAACTAATTTATAATAGTTAAAATCGATCAAGGCATTGAAATAAATAAATTTCCGTTGAAGTTATATTTATAAAAACAATTTCTTAATTTTTTTTGTTAATTTTGTTCTAATTCAATACTTGACAAACTTTTATCGTTTATAGTTTTAGAATATACTGATTATTTAAAATCTATAACATTCATTCGTAAAAGGATCAAAAAATTTAATTATATTTTTTTTAAAAGAAATATAAAAAAGGTAGTATTAATAATATGAACTTAAAAATTTTATTAAATTACAGTAACCACAAAAAGAAACGGATAAACCAGTTTAAAATTTTTTTAAAAGAAATTTTTAAGGAAAAAAATCTAAATTGTTATAATCTAGAAAGGTCTAAGGACTAAGTTAATATAAATCTACACAAAAAAGATTTTCAATTTTTTAAAAATTTTAAATACCGAAATGTTTCTTGAAACAGTTTCACGAAGAAGTGGATTTAACCAGCGGCTGAGGACGTTAAAAATTTTGTCGTTTTTGACATTCTCGTGAAAATTGACGTGCATGTCGTGTATCTTACAGATTACTTTTCCTCCTTAAAAAATTAATTTGAATTATTAAGAAATTACAAATAAAAAAATTTTTTATAGCGATTTTATACAATTTTTTTAAAAATTGAATTTACTGATTTTTAATTTTATTGAGTATAATTAAATTTAAAAATTAATATAACACTTTATCATATAGATTATATAGGTTTTGCTGCTAATAATAAAAAAATTTTAAAAAATAATAAAATTTAAATTTCTAACTGCTAAAAAATTTAAATTATCTCAATAATATATAAATAAACATTACTTTTTTAAAAAATTTAATAAATTAGTTATTAAATTTTTTAATACACTTTATTATAGTATCACAGAAAATATGAAATTATAATAGTTATGCATAAAGAGTAATAATTCAATTAAATTAAGTGTAAACATGAATTAAAATTATTTTATAAAGTTTAAAAATATCATTTTTTCATATTATGAAATAACAATAAAAAATATAAAAATATATAGAAAAATAAAATTGGGGTAAATTGCAGAAAATTGTTAAAAGTAAAATTTAATTTTAAATTAAGATTTAAAGCAAAAATAATTATTTCTGAATATTTCAGAAAATTTTGAATTTATCGTTAAATATATTTATTATTAATTAATTATTGCTCGTGTCTACTTAAAATTTCAAGCCCAAAATAAGTTTTATTACTAAATTACTACTCAAAATTTTCAACGTGTAAATTTTACTATTAAGTTGCTAATAACGGCCCAAAAGAAAATTTCTTAGAAAGTATCGAACCTTTAAAAGTCACAGGAACTTCTTTTCCTCGCACTTGCGTAATGATGACGCCAAACGACAAGTCGATTCCCGGCGGCAAAATTTTAATGTCCAAATCTCCGGAATTACTGAAAGGCGGGAAACTTTTCTTATCTTTTTTTTATATAAAGTTTTTTAAAAAAGTTATTGTGCTTTTTCTTGTAACTATAATTATTAAAAAGATATATATACTTTAATTGATACGATTTTTATTTTTTTAAATATAAATCTGTTCCACACTTTCATCATAAAAAATAATTATAATAGTACCGATAGAAAAGTTTGTAAAAAAGCAGTCCGCTGCTATCCCATTGGCGCTTAAAACGGCTGTCTGATTTGTAAAAATAAAAGTGAAATGAAAAATTGTATAAATACAAAAATAAAAAAACCCCACAAACACCAATAATATAACTTTTGCATACCACAATGGGCCAATTAAAAGCCTTTACATAGTAATCTGACCATACTTATTTTATGGGTTAAATAACGAAACCATTTCGCTGCCGCCATTGGACATATCGAAACCGTCGATGAGCATTTCGATGCAGGACCGCACGTCCAGCCGTACACTCTTTTATATATGATAATTAGTAAAACTTCTTTTGTATATTTTAAAAATATAATGAAAAGAGAAAAAAAATAGTTAGAAGTTTTGAAATATAAAGAAAATAAAATAAAAATGAAAGGAACGATAAATAAAAATAGTTTCCATATAAAACAATAATCGTGAAAAGTTTAAAAATCTGAAAGGAAACAAAAAATTTATTGAGTAGAGCAAAAAAAATTAATGGTATAAAAAAATTCCACAAACTTAAAAAAAAAAAGGGCCCCACAACACTATTAAATATATTAAACTTTTTTTATAAAGTAAATAATAACTGGAAACTCTTGATATTCATTATAAAAAATAAATCAAATCAGATATTAACTGTTGGAAAGTTTGTGACTTCGATAGTCATTTTTTGTATTGAGTAACTGTCTTTCTCAGTCTCTTCGTGAATATTTGGAATCTCAATCTTCGTTAAGTGTTCTCTAATTTGTTATTATTTAATAATTGTATAAGACTTAAAATATTTCTTTAAAAAAAAAATATTATAAACTTAACAAATAAAAGTAGAAGCTTAATTTTTTTAATATATTTAAAAAAAATATATAAAAATTATTATATTTATTATCTACTTTTATATTTTAAAATATTATTATAAATACTTGTATATATATATATTTATTGTTATTTACTTTACTATACATTGATAAATTTATTTATTTATTACTTTACTTCATACTATTATAATTGTTAATGGGACTGCAAGTACAAGTAATATTACGTATAATACGCTAAAAGCTAGACAAACATGCCCAGCGTTTTATGTGACGTTATCGGTTATAACCTTCACTAAAGTTCTAGGGCTTACTAGTCTAATTTATCCTTCTTGCAAGCAATAAAATAAAAATTAATAGTAGTAGTAATAATAATAACATAAGTATACTTTAATACGGGCCATAATACAAAGCGGACAAACTGCTCAGCAAAGTTTATGGGGTCTTGAGCAGCGATGCGAAGGAAGTCTTTATTTTCTTGCATAATCATAAAAAGTTGAAAAAGTTTAGAAAAATACAAATCCAAGTGTTATATAAGAACTTTAATAGGTTAAAGTATTTTTTAAACTTGACTTATTTGAAAAATTTTAAACGTGTAGTTTACAATATAAAATATAAAATAGCTAAAAGTAACCAAATTTTTGTTTGGACAGTGCGCGGTTTTTATTAATCTTTTTGACTAATGAAAGACTTTGGGAAATAATAACCAATGAAATGATAAATACAACTGGAAAACTGTCAATAAAAATTTAGAAAACTTTTCTTTTGTTAATAACAACAAATTACTTTCGCGCTCAATTAAATTAACTTTTAAAAAAAAATTAAAATTCAGCTTTTGGTAATTATATAATAAGTTATAAAAGTTTTTAAAATTTTATACATTTCTAAAACTTTCAAGATAACCAACGAAATTAAAAATGATTTTAATGCAACTTCCAAATAAATATGAACTTTTTTTTTACATCATCACCTTTTTTAAATATGTCTCCAAACTTCTTTAAAATCTTTGAAATCAACGAGTGTTGGTCACTCAAAGTTCGCATCTGGTTGGCGAGATCCTTGACGGCCTGTATACAACCTTGAAAAATATTGAGTATTTGTCAAAAAAAATATAAACTTGCTAAAATTTATAATATAATTATGTACTTTCTTTAGTAAAAGTTGTAAATTTCGTTTATTGCGTTTAAATTTTATCTTTTTATTATAAATTAAAAATTAAAATTAGTATGTGCATTTTTGGAATAATAATTCATAATTCTTTTTAATAATAGTTTATAAAAAATGTGAAACTTTAAAATTTTTCCAAGTTAGAATCAAAATTTAAAACTTATAGTTCTAATTTAACTTTTAATATTTTCGTTACTATTGAAAACCTTTTTTCTAAAAATTTTAAAAAAATTGCTCTTTATTTCTATTTTTTAAAATATCTTCAGTTTAAAAACATTTAAACTTAATTAACTTCTGCTTTAGAAAATTATAAATTTAAAATAAATAAATTATTTGCAGTGAATACCAGTTTTTCAAAGTTTTATGAATTTGAATAGCTCAATATAAATATTATACTTTTAATAATATTTATAAAATATATATAAAAAGGTTTTAAAAGTATTTATTTATGCGCATAAAATTATATATAAAAAACTTTATTACTAAATTTAAAAAAAAAAGTTAAATTAGTTTTTACTTTACATTTAAAAATTTAAGTTTTATAAAGTTTTATAAAAATTTGGAAAATATTTTACTGGTTAAAAAAAAAGTATATAAATAACTAGTTCTTCACGTTCAATTTTAAATTAGTAAAGAATAATTATAAAAAAATTTTAAAATTAAATTTAGAAAACATATTTTTTTAAACTATGATTTAATTTAAATTATAAATTTACTACTAAAAATAAATTCTTAATAAAATTTTAGTATTGCTTAATCCAATCATTTCTTGTTAAAAAATATAATTAATATTATTAACACACGAAAAATATAATTTATTAAATGTACTTTTGTTTAGACATTTAAGAGAATCTCAATTATTTTTTAATTTAAATTTAATTATATTATTATTCATTACTTTTTATTTTATTTTTTTTGTAAAGATAAAAAGTTTTATAGTAATTAATGTTTACTCATTATTATTACATACTTCAAAGTATTATTTTTTTATTATTTATATAACAAAGTAAATGTTTTTTTAATTAGTTATTATTATGAAATGTTCATAATAATTATTACTTCTTATATTTTAAAAAAATTCATAGTATTAACTAATTTTAATACCGTTTTTCAAGCGCATATATACTTAAAATTTAAATATTACAAAATCATTAAAAACATATTTCCTTGCTTAATTAAAAAATTAAAAAAATTTACTTCAACTATATTTTATAAGAAAACCTGAATGCTTTTTAAAAACACGAACAATCTCATCAACAGCAGCAGAAACTTTATCTTTATTGGCTTCTTCCAGAGACTTTATAAAGTTTTGAAGGGAAGAAGTTACTTCGGGATCCTTTAAAGCTTCGCAGAATAATTGTTTGGCTCTTTCATGAAGGCCCTTCAAAATTTCCAAAAGAAAAAATTATAATTTAAAAAAAAATTATAAAGTTTGGCTCAGAAAAAGTATTCACTTTATATGAAAAAATTAGAGAAAAATTATAATTTAAAACATTTTAAAAAAGGGAGAGGAGCAAAAAGAATCTAATTTATATATTTGCATTTATCAATTTGCAGTTAAAACTAAATCATCAGTTATTTGAAAGTATAATTTTGAGTTTTTTTTTTATATGAATATATACTTTTTAAGTTAAAGAAAATTTATTAACTGATTATACAATAAAAAAACAAAGTACTTTCGTTCCCTCGGCCGCGCCTGCCTCGGAAATGCTAAGGACGCAATCTATAAAGTGTTCAGCTTCCTATAGTTCTATATTAAGAAAAATATTTCTATTTTAAATTTATTATAAAGGCAAACCTCAGTTCCTTGAGCGCATTTCAAAAAGTTTAGGATCTTGAACAACGCAGAGCTTTTATTGTATTCAAAATAAAACTATAAACCAGCAATAACGAAAAAAACTTGGACCGAGTTTTTCTTCCTTCTTCTTTTTCGCTAGCCGAACAAATTGCGTCAAGCCATTCTTCTTTAGACCTTCCCGCATCTTTTAAGTAAAGTATTATTTAATAAAGCAAAATTTAGAAGTTCTCTAAAAGATTTATAAACAAAACCCAAAAACTTCTTAGCGCTTTCTTTAGTGCGCATGTAGGCTGTTTCCGAAGAAGTGGCTTGAACTGGTTTGGAATCAGGTTGCTGAATCTTCACAGCAATGGTTTGAAAAAGGTGGAATATAGCAATACGAGTTGTCTAGCAATTGTTTAAGTTTATTAAAACATAATAAACACCCACCTTCAAATAGCACACTATACTTCAGAAAGTAAAATATCATTCAGTAAGGATAGCGCAGAGTATTTCTCTCCCTTGCTTTCCTCTTCACCTTTGGGAGAGTGGGTTGAATTTTTATCTTCAATACCAGAAGGGTTATTATTCTCATTTTCTCGACCTTCAGAACTCTTTTTAGAATGATTTCCTTGAGAAACTGTGTTGTTACTCTTATCTTCCTTATCCATTTTAATGAGATACTAAACGGAAGTCTCTTCTGGTGGTTGTAAACTGACCTACCTTATCCCAGTGCAGCTTGCCTAACATGGACTTATAAAATTTATTTTCTACTTTTGTACAAGCTTTGTGGTCAAATTAAAAAATAGAAACTCGTTTTTTCGTGTCCTTTTCAAGTTTGCTTAATAATTTTCAGGTTATTAAAAGTAAAATGGTAGCTTAGATAACAAAATAACTTCCTCTATATATGCTAAAATTATTACTCTGCAAGGTTATGTGAAGGGGGCATCGCATCTTAGCTGAACGTATCATTCTAATTACCTTAGGCGTTCAGAAATGCTCTTCTTATTTACTTAATAAAACGTGCATTTAAGTTTAGTATCCGAGTGATTTGCCGTTAAATGTAAGCTTGGTCAATATTTAAATTATTGAGCGTTTAAAGTTTCATAAATAAAGCGAGGACCTTCAATATCTCTTCTACGATTAATTTTGCTCTAGCAGGAAGGAGAATTTTGGCTTCACCATACTTATTTGTCATTTCATACCTGTACTAAAATTAGTATTCTAATTGTGTTGTTTGTATGCGTACCAGATTATTTTAGTTGTTAGTGGGTCAACTTTTTAATAATTAAAACAGGTAGATGGGCAATTTTTTTCACTCTTCCATAAGAAAAGCACAATGTCCGATGAATTAACCAAATTATGATTGAGAGAGTGCTTTTAATAGTTTACAAAAAGTGGTATTAGGAAAATATGTGCTAATATGTGTAGGTCACTTTTTATGCCTGTCACTTACATATTTTTCTGCGAATAAACATATTTTTGCTGGTCTACAAGTAAATAAGCCAAAGGAGACGACACTTCAAGCTTTTCAGATATTTTATACTTAGGGGTCATACTTAACAAAAAAGTGAGTTAGAATAAACGTATAGCTTATACTATTATCAAAACTAAAGAGGTAGTGTCTTATTTCTACCCAATAAAATCCAAAAAGCAGAGAAAAGTTCTTGGTATACAAAACGGCTAGAGGCTCACATCGCTACCCACTGCGGTTGTAAGGGTTACCCACCTACTTTAGATCTTAACTTTACCCCAACTATTATTTAAGCGGCGTATGTGAGGGGGAAAAACTCATTAAGGAAAATCTTCAATTGCTAATGCTAACCACGTTAATATGCAAAAAAGCTACTTTGCGATGGCAAAACAAGAGTAATGGTTAAATCAAACATATTTCAAGACGAATTTCTAAACTATGCTCTAACCATAAAAAAGTTTTTTACTGGTTATTTTTATCAGGTCGCCACATCTGATTATGTTCTTTAATAAGAGTTCATGAAATGCTATAGGTTAGATACCTGTGTCGTCAGCGAAAAATTCTTTTTAAATATGTATTTAACTTCTGCAGCTCTACTTCGTATCGTCAGAATCGGCTTTATACTAGCACGGAAGTGTACCAATCCAGATTGAATGAAGCAAAAAACAGTATTAAGGTAGTTAAAATTACCTTTTATTAGGTCAGGCAGGGGCCCATGTGGCTCCAGCAAACTGATAGCATCCGCTCTTAGAGTCCTTTCTGTACTTGCCTCCACTAGCTTCTTATGCGGTGTTCTACTGCAAATACCCTACGTGAACACCCAGAAACGCAAACCGAAACAGATAAACCCTTTCTGGCTACGCTATAGAACGAGGATTAAGAGTTCAGGGTCACAGCTGCCGGAACATATGGTGAAGAAGACGGGAGTAGTAAACGTACAAGGTATCGTTATAGACAGGATATATACTTTATAACCACTATTGATGTGCTGGATATTGTAGGATATTGTTTATCCTGCTCTATTTAAGGAAAAGAGGAGCATATAGGGCATTCTCTCGGCCTCTTAGGGAACTGAAGCATATTCGCTTAAATAGCTCTAGTAATCCCTCCTTCACCCACACTACTGGTATTCCCCACTTTACTAAACAACGTTGTTGCCGACTTTGAACTTGCAATGATAGGAGTTCAAATATAAGCAGCGACGAAATGTAGATACGAATTTTATTAGCCGTCTTCCTGCGTGGTAAAGGCGATATGTATGCGAGCGTCGGCGCCTCTTTTGCGTGGCCTTCCCAAGGGCGCTTTGGTTACGTGCACGCAAATTGTCGACATGGGGACCATTTTTTGTAGTGTTTTTAGTATCATTAATTTGGATCCTTTTTCAAAAACTGTTTAAGTGTATATCACTTATTAAGTTGCATTTCCCTATTATACTTGATAATAAAAACAAAAACGAAAGGAGGTGAAGAACGGGGCTACAGGTGTTGTACCGTGCCTAAAGACATGAATGTGAGGTTTCTAATTTTAATTTGATGACAACAAGGTCTTTAGGGATGCTTGCATTTCAACAACATCGTGAACCGTTATAGTTTGCTTCAGGTCAAGTTTAGTAAAGTTATCTGTAAATTTAAGAAATGAAAAAGGGTAGGGTATGTGGCTTTTACTCCACTACAAAGAAAATATATAAATTTGTATCTGAAGGCTGCTTGTGTTTTTCTTCGTTGGGTAACAACTTGAAGTGTGTAGCTAATGTTTCAAGAAAATTACCAGTTGTACTTTACTATTTTAATCTAGAGTATTATATTAAATTTGAAAAAAAACGATATTCTTTTTGATGGGTCATTGATCTACTTGTCAAGTTACTTCTAAACTGAGGGTGAGCTGGGGTAGGGGTAGAAGCTGAGCTTAAAATTTTTTTAAAAACTAATGCTTTCAGAAATAGTTCCATTGATTGCCAGGATACACCTTTTGGTTGAAGTAATTGTCAGGAAAGGTACTTTGGCCTTAAGTTTAAAAAATTATAGAATTTACTTGGGTAGCAGTTAATTGAGGATAGAGTTGTGGTCGGAAGAAAGCTAGTGCCACACAAAAAGAAAAATATGAGATGGTACATCTTTAAATTTGAGGTGTTAAAGGCGTTTTCTGTCCTCACGGCCGACAAGAGTACAGGTTCTTTCTCTTTTCTATAACAATGATGCTATTTTATGCTATTCAAACAAAGAGGGTATTAGACTTCCCTCTACGCCAAAAAATGGACGCCACCTTACGGGGGCAAAAAGTCATTTATTAAGGCATCACTCCGCTACTTTGATGTATATCCTTACAGCTTCGTGAACTTCCCGGAAATGTTCTTTGAAACTTTCTGACCTGACTTCACAGCTGGGAAGTTATGTTGAGGCACGTAGCCATACGCCGGTAGCTTTAATAGTCTTATCTTTTTAATTTAACTAATGCGTGAGGAATGTCTGCTGATGCGGAGTGCTACGCTCTTATCCATTATTTTTACAATCTTGGTTGTATACATTGGAATGAGTACGGTAATTAGTTACTGTATATAAATTGGGCCTTAATGAGTCTAACTATGTAAATATTTAGTTGCATCATTAACTCGTGCAGTCCATCTTTCTTTTTACAAATTCCATCGGCATAGTAGTAATTATTGAGAGGTCAATTTAAGTTTAGTATTTTAATCGCTATATGCTGTTATTAGTGAGAATATAACCTGTTTTATAAAAATTTTAAGCAGAGAAATATGTACATCTCTGAGGACTCCGTTAAATTGGCACTTACTCGGTTTAGTGAAGTTATCCCGCCTCTTTATAAAGGGGAAACTCTTAGGAACAAAAACAGCCGCTGCAGTTAATAGTGTAGCTTCTTCCTTGGTGCAAAACTTAGCGAAATGAGCCTCGCTATATTTACATAGCGGTTGCATTACTAATTTGCTTCGTCTTTAAATCCATGTTTTTAGTATTAATACCACGGAACTCCAAAAATAAAACTTAATTCTAACGTTTATTAATAAAAAGAGTACCTGAATATTAACGTCATTCCGTCATACCGGGAATGGGAGTGTCTTCGTAGCCAAGCGATTAAGAGCTTTAACGCGTAAACTCAGCCCGAGATCTTCAGTTGATATCTTGGGGAGCCCATTAGTTTAGCATATGACAGAGTTCGTGCTTATAAGGCAGCTGAATGTACGAAGGCGAGGTTGCGAAGACCTCAGAAAGACCCGCTGCGTATGGTATTTTGAACTCAAGGCCTTGAGCTCACACACGTCAATGCTTCTAACGACTGAGCTGCGATTGACAACTCTAATTCCCTGAACTAATAAATTTTTTTAGTGGTTCTGACTGCCCTAGGTTGAATGGCGGGAGCCCGAGTTCAACATGCCTTCGCTTTCCCTAAGTCTTTTAGAATGACAAGTGAAAACGTGGCTACAAACTTTATCCGACAAAGCCCTACAACATCCAGTTAAACCGCTGAACCAGCGCTTTGAATGTCTACTTCTTTTTCTTACGATCAAACAATTTCGTACGCCTCTCGCTTACACACACAGACGACTCATCGGAATAACAATTGAAACAGCAGCCTCTAACCCTATGGCAACTGCTTCACGTATTAACAACAAAAAATTTAACAACAACGCTTGTAGTAGTTAGGGACCTAAAATCAGTTTGCAATGTTTTTAGCCATTGGAACATCCGCTCTATTCAGCTTCTGTTTTATTATGCTGATTAGTTTTTCAAGCATGGGCTACACAAGTTAGTGTAGCACGAAAGAACAAAGCTGAGTGTTATTAAAGGTAGCAACCTTTTTCTCAGTGTCTCATTATAGTTCTGAAACGTCCAGGCTACTACCAGAAAAAACTTGTTAGGGGCAGTAAAAGAACAGCTATTTTAGCCTGTCGTAACATTTAACGCCCTAAAAAGCATAGAGTTAGTTGGGGCTTCCCTCAGCTTAACAAGTCATTTATTTGTGTAGGTGATCGCAGCTTATGAGCCTCCCAGCAAGCAATCGGGTATCCAGATCTCCATGCTCTCTTTATAAACAGCTCTAGAACTGTTTTATGTAAGGAGATTAACTGCAAGCTTACGAGTGAAAGCTAAGCACTAACGTTAAACTACCGCCGAAGGGCAACGATCACATGGCGAAGATTGGCACATGACGGTGCTGGGAATCGCCGTTTCATAATTAGACAACGAACTTCCGTAGGACCATCTGGAGAAGGTAACAACCAAGACATTCACCCGGACCTTTAAAGGCTGGTTTAATTTCTCGAGTTATCCGACTGAAGATGCCCACTCTCTGTGAAAATAAAACGTGTCGATGAGGACCGCCATAACCCCCAATCTTATGAACTAAAGACCCTTCCTGCGAGTGTTGACGCTTTGTCAGGGTGGTTAGACAAAGTAGAGGGTTAATTTACTACAAACGACGCTTAAGAAAAGAGAGCCGCTGGAGCCACACGTATCGGAGGCTACCGATGATGGTCCGCCTCTCTGGCAGTTTATAAAGAACCCCCTTGCGAAACGGTAACTTTGTGGCGAAAGACGACATAGACGGAGGACATTTTTTGCTGATTATATTTGCTGCTAAACGTGTATTACAGCTTCTTTATCTGCAAATAAAATACTTAATACGCAAACTCCCTCGCTGATGCCGAAGAGCAGCTTAAGGCTAACTACCACAGTCGAAATTATTATATAGCTTCAGCCTTGACAGTATCACCCACGCGCTACTGAAGCAATTGTAGTTCAGGAACCCTCTTCAGCTCAACGGTAAACCTCCAGCCCCTCCCTGTTGCAAGGGAAGGGAATTACCGTGATGTTCCCCAAGATACCGCGAACCGCCTGTGCGCCGGACAAACCCCAAATCTACCAGCCCCTTGTCGACAGTTGCCTAAGTGGCTGAAGGCAGCGATTCTGCGCTTCTTAAGAGTTTGTTTACGCAAACCACGTCTCACAAGGTTCTCAGTATAAAATTCAGAGATCTTTGTTATTTTTAATTTTTCCTTCGTTAAAGTGCACTGCAAAAGAATTACTGCGTATGCATACGACAAAAAACAAAAGCCTGTTTTAAACAAAAAAAGAGTTCAAAAAGAGGCGCTAGTAGTGTATTTAACGTTTTATTAAAAAATGATAAGTAGTTTTTCAATCAAATCCAAGTTAATGTAGCATAAAATATAATTGTAATATCGGAAGCTATAATAACTAAAAAAATAAACCGAAAATTTTTCATTGTATTAATTTGTTTGAGGACCCCATTTAGTTTTTCTAGTAGTGGACCGGGAAGATGTTACTGGCTTCACTGCAGTAAAAGAAGTAGGACTTTTACTAGGTGGTGCCATAACGGAGATGGTTTCGCAAATCTTCTTTGAGTTTTGGTTCTGCAAAGCAATTCTTTTTGCAATTTCATCATAAGAAGCTTCAGGCCCAAACTCACTGGGATCAAAAACTTCTTTGGGGTAATTAGAGCCAAATTCTTCCAAATGCCACTTTTTTACCATCACCTCGCAAATATAAGGATTTTGGTAGCGCTGACGTGTTTTTAGCTATTTTAATTAAATAATTAACCAACTGTAAGGTAAAATGTATAACGACACAATTAATAAAAAACCGCTTTATTCAAGTTTTCACCGCTGGTTAAAATTTTCTCAACTTTACGCTTAATTTGTTATAATAATTTACAATAATCACGGCATTACTGAAAAGAGTATATGATAAACCTGAAGTTCTTTAGAACAAGGCGCTGTGGGAGGAGGTGGAAGAGTAACGCTTTCGTAATCAAGAGCAAACAATTCGGTGAGATTTATATCCTCTTCCTGTCCAAACTCTTTCAGAAAAACCTAAACGTCGTGAAAAAAAATTGTAACCGGTTCTGCAGGGTCAACAGAAGAAATAACAGGCTGAGGAATAGAGACTTGCGGTCCTAATATTTACGTGTATTCACAGAAAGTATCATTTTATTGTACATTAAAAATTTAAAAATTACCCTCAAACCTATCAAAGATGTATTTATCAAATAAAAAATAAAAAATTACCGGTAAGGTCAACTGTAGGTGAAAAGGGCTTGCTTTCTAACACTGTAAAAGAACTAAAGTTCTCTGAACTGGATTGCAACTTCTCTTCTTCACTATATTCTAAAGAACTTTGTTGAATACTGCTCTCTGATTCTGAATCTGATCCGTAGCCCACAAGAGAATTAAAGGAGGTAATGTGGCTCATTAGAGTTCTCAGTTTACATATTAACTAGATATACATCAAGCGACAGTAAAACCCAAAAATACATCCAAAAGGGGTTTAGTATATTAATGTTTAATAAACTAATATATAGCCTTCCACAAAAAAAAAAAAGGCCCGTCCGTCCAAGAAGCACTAACCACCAAATAGTATGATGTTATGAATTTGAGGGTGTATACATGTTACACTGTGGTAAGCCTCATTTAAAAGGTGGGGCTATCACGGTCTGAGTTGGAATAAGAATTTTTTATAGATGTTATGTTATTACAATAAATACATTAAAAATATCAGGTTTATAAATTTAAATGTTAGAAAACTGTATGTTGTGTAACCAATACACTTGTTTAATGCTAAAAAGCAAAAGTAATTTTTCTATTAAGTCACTTCAGTGGTTATGAAAAAAGTATTGCTACGGTCACTTTTCGAAAAATTCTACTGAGCTTTTTTTCAATAGAATTCATTTCTCTTATTAGAATCCTAACGAGACGACAGTTTCCATGAAAGAAGTACACGTTGCTTGCCTGATTTTAATGGCCTACAACCCCGTTTACCTCGCAAAGCTGTTAACATCAAGCTTTATAACGATCATTATTCAAAATCATACGTTTTTTAAAATAGTATTTCTTAAATTTTATTCTAATACGATAAAGTAAAGGTTTAGTTTTACTAATCTATTACCGATATTTTATTATGTTTGGGGGTCATCTCTCGCTTTATTTTATTTTTTCATATGCATATTGTTTGAAAATTACTTTTCACGAACAAAGATGAAGAATTTAAAATACCGCGTGACCTTTCAAGGGCTTTTTTTATTCTCATAATAACCTAAGCGGCGCAGGACTATTATTAATTTCGGTATTCCCACCATGAAGTGTACTGTATCTATACTTTTCATTAAATAGTTACTTTGTATGATTTATCCTCTATTTTACAATTATAAATATTTTAATATAAATTTAAAAAATTGTATATTAAAACTTAAGCTTAAACAAATAAGTCTAACCTCAGTTGCCCAAGTTATGTTATCGGCCTAGTTACTTTACTGCGTTGCATTGAGAGTCAAGAAAAGCCATCAAGAATCGTTATTACTAAGCCAAGTTAACAATTTTTTTTTCTGTACAAAACATTTATTTGTTTTTACCCGCTCTGAGAAAAATTTTAAACCATAGACGTACTGCCTTGTCAAACGCTTTAGTTACTTCAAGAGCTATCTTTTTTTTTATTCTAACCAGCCTGGAATTTGCCTAACCTTTTATTATACCCCTCGTAAAGTCAAAATTCAAATAAACTATAATTAAAATTAACTGCCTACGTGCAATAGAGAGAGCTGTGCAATATTACAAACTTGCGGTTACTTACCTAAAACTTTTCAGAAAACATCATTTTAAATCACACGGACTGCTTATTACGTAACATAATAACACAGTATAACTGAATCTCAACGTAAACTCTACAAATTTTTAGTTTGTCTCTTTTCAGTGCGTTAGTAACACTTCGCCAAATAATAGTAATTTTTTGCAACTCAACAGTGGATATGTAATAGTGTTATTTAGTATCACTGATATGCAAATCTTATTAATAAACTTAAATAATATTAAAACAGTAACTCCATGCTAATAAAATTTAAAGCATAAATCACCAAACGTAGAAAACTTATCTTCGGTTATACTTTTATAAATAAAAAAGGCCGCAATTATTGTTATGGATGATATTATAATAATTTTTAGTTTTGTATAAAGGCAACGACCTAAATTAATCAAAGCTGCGCCGGTTAACTTATTTTACTATAAGATGTAAGAAGTATTAAACTTTTAGCCTATATTATATTTTTGCACAGAATATTAATATCTTTAATAAACAAAAGATTCCCCTCAGCCTTCAACGCCAAAAAAGTTCGTAAACTCAATATGTTTTTTGAGATCCTCTTCGCTAACGCTCGGCTTTACGTGCTGTAACGAAAGAAGCACATCCGCCTATTATAAAAAAAGCAAAAATCAGCAAGTAGTTAAATTTATTAGTTAAATTCATCACACACCCTACAAACTTTAGGCTCCAGGAGTTGTTCACCATCAACGTCCATCCAATTCATTTCAATAGCTTCGGGATCGCCTTAATTTTATCATAACAGTATAAAGTTATATAATAAAAAATAATAAAAATCAAAAATCAGGGAAACCGGGAGAGCAGGGAGTGAGATACATAAAGTTTTTTGTTTTTCCGTCACGCGAAACGCCGTAGATCTTTTTAAAATGAGTAGCGGATTGAACCTGGAAAAGTTATAATTATAAAGATTAAAACTACGCTAATGTTTTCAGCCTAATTAATAGTAGAAAGATGAGAAAGACTAATTTATAATGAACAGAAACAAAAATTTTTGAAAAGCTGCAACAAATATTTATTAACTGATTTAGAGATGAGAAAAATAAACAACAAAGTTGTCACGTCTACTTAGCTCTTTAGAAGCCGATGATCAAAGAACTTATTTTAAAACTATCTTCAAATATTAAACAAGATTATTTTATAAGCGCAAAAGTATGTAAAGCAAAATGTTATAATTTTTCAAGATAGAGAATAATTTTTTCAAATAAAGAGTAGGCTGAAAAGCCGTAATTACCTTTCTTACTGGTTGAAACAAGGCGTCTCTAACAACAATATTAATATCAGCGCCAGAATATCTATGTTAATTATAAAAATAAAAAAAATAAACTTTCAATAATAATAATAAAAATTTTATAATATATAAAATTAAGGTGCCAAAGCAATAAAAAAATGTTGGCGTAAAGATTGTGGCCAACAGTTACAATGTGTCTTATTTTCGCTCCAAGAAAGTTAAATTGATTGGCGCCAATTAATGCAATTATGCAAACAAAACTTATAAGGCACCAAAGCGAAATAAAAAAGCGTTTTTTTTCGCCCGCCAAAAAGAGTGGTAAAAATTGCGCAAAAAAATGCGCTTAGGCAAACCCCCAACTATAGCGCCCCAGCATTATAGTAAAGGCGCTACGTAAGTATTTCGTCATTAATATAATTGCTAAGCGTTTATTATTAATATAGTCGCAACCCTTCAGACATTTCGCCAAAGTGACGAAAATCCTTTAGAGTTAAAGTGTGCGGCGTGTCGCCAATGTACATCTCAAACATACAAGTACGAGCCTGAACGTCCGGGAGTGATATGTAGATTCGCTTTTCAAACCTAAAAGGGAGCAACGTTTCTAAGCGAAATGTGAGAGCATGAGATGCTAGCAAAACAATTTACAATGCTTTACTGGTTAAAGTTTCAACTAACCGCTACCACCATAATATATTAGAATTTTCCAAAATAAAATTTTTAATAACTATAAAAGTATAACATACTGACCTCCTCCGGACGGCCGAATCCAGGATCCAAGGGATATTCGTAGCCCCCAAAACTAAAATTCCTCTAGTATCGTACCCAACGCCTTCAGTAGCAAAAAAATAGTTTCATAGTCGTTTTTATTACATATTTTTGATTAATAAGTAATAACTTCCACTAACTTTCGTTAGTTAAAAAAAAGAAAAATCTAAAAAAATTATCTTTTTGTACCATTCATCTGCACAAGAAATTCTGTTTTCACGCGCTTGGCGCTTTCACTTTCCCCTACAACAAAAATATGTTAAAAGCTGCAACTAAAAAATTCTTACCAAACAACATTTTGAAAATTAAGAAACAGTTTAATTTAATTTGATAAAATAAAAGTCAAAAATTATATATACTAAATCAAAGCTTTATAATATAAAATATTTGCTAATTTTATATATAATTAATGTAAGCCAAAAAAATTATAAATTAATTAATTAATTTAAAAAAATCTTTTACTTGCCAAGAAAAAGTAATGCAAAAAGGCGCAAGCTATTAAAAATATCTTTAAAAAAATAGTAGTAGTAAACATATTACATCTAATAAAAAACATTAAATTTAAAAGTCAAAACAAATTTGCTCATCAATTTAGCATGAACTAAAAAAAGTTTTTTTTATAAAAAAGTCAAATCACAAAAAAAAGTTAAAGTTGATTACTTTTCTAACAAACAGAAAGAAGAAAAAAAAACATTTCCACAAGAGTAAAGCTTCGAAGAATTTAAAAAAAATTGTAGTGAAGTTTTATTATTATTAAATAGAGGTAAATTAATGAATTTAATTGTAAAAAAAATTAGTAAAAAAAAAGATGAAAGCAGTAAAAATTGTTTTACAAAATACAAATGAAAAATTATAAATAAAAGCAAAAAACAAATTAATAATTTTATTTGTAAAAAAAAAGTTAGTAAAAACATAATGCTGTTCAAATTGTTTTACAAAAAATCTACCAATTAAAAATTTATAAGTAAAGGAATTAATATTGAATTAATAAATTTATTAAAAAAAAAAAAGAGAAAAGATAAAAACTGTTCTAATTTTTTACATGAAATCTTTACCACTTGAAAATTTATAAACAATAAAGTCAAAATCGTATTAATAAATTAACTAAAAAAGGAATAGTAAAGAATAAAGCTGTTTATATTGGTTTACAAAAAATTCTTTACTAATCAAAAATTTATAAGTAAACGAAGTAAAGTAAACTGATAATTTATTAAAAATAGAAAAAGGAAAGATGAAAGGTGTTCATACTGTTTTACTTAAAAATCTTTATTACCAACTAAAAAAATAAAATTAAAGCAAAAATAATAAAGTTTAATTAATGTTATAAAAAAAATCTTTATAACAAAAAAGTTTTTAAGTAAATTTAGTAATAGCAGGGAAACTATTTTTAAAAAAAAATTAATAAAAGGGAAGATGAAAGCTGTTCGGTGTTCATTACAAAAGTCTAACCTTCAGAGCGAGCGCTGCACAACGAATCGATTTCATCAATAAATATAATGGCTGGACGCCGCTCGCGTGCCATTTCAAATAAGTTCTTCACTAATCTAATTTCAAAATTGTAAAAAAAAAATTAAAGTATAAAGGTATAATAAACTTTTATACTCTTAATTTAAAAATATCAGTAAAAATAATATTTTAACAAGAAAAAAGTTAAAAAATTTGGAAACAAAAATTTGACACGTATAAAATTAGATCAAAAATTTATATAATAAAAGTTTTGAAATAACTTTATACGCTAAATATAAAATTGAAATTTAAAATAAAATTATAATTTAAATAACAGTTCAAAAAACATAAAAATAAGAAAATTAAGACATAAACAGGATAAAACATAAAATTAAAGGAAAAATTTACAAATCTAACTCATCTAAAAAAATAAAGAGCCATTAGTATAAAAAATATAATTGAAGAAAATTCAAAGGATTCTCAAATCATAATTTAATAGAAATTTAAAAAATCAATTCAAAAATTATAACTGAAAAAATAATTGTTGTAAAGCTTAAAAAAATTTGCCAAAAAGTTTAGTTAATAATACTGTTATAGATCAAAACATAAAAGAAATTTTTTAATTAATTAAGTTTAATAAATTTAAATTTTGGCTGAATATAATTTAAAGTAGTCAAAATTGAAATCATAATTGCTATGAAGAATCTTTAATTTAATAATAATTAAAAAAATATATTATATATAAAAATCAACTTCGACTTGCATTAATTTATATATTTTTCTACTCTTAGCAAATATGAAGTAAGCATAATTATAAATTCCTTATAATTGGAATAAATTCTATATTTAATTTATTTTTAAATTATTAATTTTTTAATGATTTATAAAAATTGACATTGGTATAATAATAAATTTACTTCAAAAATTTACTAATTATATAATAAATAATATAAAAAAATTCAGATAGAAAAATTATTAACAACGCGATCATAAAAAACCACTAATGGAAATTTTAGAGATCCAATTATAATTTTTAACAAATCACAAAGTAAATAAAAAAGCCAACTAACTTTGTAAAAATAATAATTATACTAAAAGTTATTAGTAAAAAAAAAATAATTTACATATAAATTTAAAAAAATTTAGTCTTGCAAAAAAAAAGTAAAAATTTGTTTTTTACATTAAACTTTTCTAACATAAACGCTTTTTTTCTAATAATAATGCGATTGATATATAAAAAATTATAATCACCCAATCTGAAAATTAAAACAAATACGCTAAACTTAAAGAATTTTATAAAAAAACAAAATTCTAATTATTATGTTCACAACAAATTATGAGTATTATAAAATTTACAAAAAATAAATTCTGTTAAGGAAGTTAGTAATGCTGTAAATTTTCATGAATTCGCAATAAGGGCTTCAAAAATAAATTAAAACATTTATATAACTATAAAAAAAAAATTAAAAAAAGAGGAAAAATTAATAACAATAATAGTAATAATGAGACAAAAAAAATTATAAAAAAAAGTTAATAAATTAAATTACTTTAATAAAAAACTTAATTTTCACAACGATAAAATAATAATTAAATTAAATTTTTTAACGAAGTTTCTCAAAATAAATATAAAAAGTAAATATCGCTATAAAATTAAAAAATGAATTTCAAATTATAAATCAATAATATATAAAAGCTTGCAAACCTGGAAGTAAAGAATGTTATATACTTACTAAATTACACGAAATGGAAAAAAACGCCACAAAAAAAATTCGTCACTGAAATTTATTATAAATTTTTCAGTATATTGAATATAATTTTCACAATAATTTTTTAAAATAAATTTATTACTTTAAAATTCAATCAGTAAAAATTAAATAGAATTTCATATTTCATATATTATAATAAAAGTAGAACAAATTTATAATTTCAGGCTTTAAAAAATTCTTAAATACTAAAAAAATAATTTAAATTTTACATAAAAACTTTTTGCTTTATAAAAAAATTTAACAAAAAGTATTAAAAACCGCAAAATATAAATAACTAAAAAGTTTTAGAGTTTTAAACTTTTATAAAAATATTACAATTTACTATAATTACATTTTTTTTTAAAAAAAATTTTAAAAGTCAACGAATAAATTTTGATTTCCAAGCAAATCAAAAAAAAATTATTTAAAATTTTTTTAATATAAATTATACAATTATAATTTTCTTATTTATACATTTTTTTTTCTTATTTAAAGGAGACAACGTTGCTACTAAACTCGAGATCAATAAGAAGTAAAAACTTAATAATATTCATAATAATAAAAAACGACTAACTTAGAACTTTCTTTATAAATTTAATTAATATAATATTTATTTTTAAAAATCAAAAAATTTTATGAATAACATTAAAAAATATTAAATATCAACAATTATAAAATATTTAAATTATATTTTAGTAAAGCAAAAAAATAAATTGAAATAAATTCCTAAAAAATTGTAATATATTTTTGAAGGTTTCAAGATTAAATTTTTTAATAATATTTATTTAAAATTCTTTCAACTAACTAATTATTAATTTTTAATCCAATAATTTCAAAATATTAACTAACCTCGAAAAATTCCTGAAAATAACAAATATTTATAAAAATATAATTTTCTTTAGATTTACAATTACTATATAAAATTAATTTATATAAATATATTATTTAATATATTCTAATATAAAATTTTCGCTCAAGATTTTAAACGTTAAAAATAATTAAATATATAAATTGGAGTAGATATAAAAATAAAATTTCTTTATATATTTTAAAGGACCACTACAAAAATTTAAATTATTCACGTAAAAAAAATTGCTCAACAGGTTTTAATTTTGTTATAAATAATTATGAATCAATAAATTAGTTAATATATATTAATAATTACTGTTACTTGTAATAATTACTAAAATTTATAAAACTTACAATAGTAATTTTTATAAATAATTATAAAAGTTAGTTTCCTAGTAAAATTATATTAATTATTTTAAAATATTATAGACTTTAACAAAGTTTATAAAATTAAATCGTCCAAGTTTAGAATCATGAAAGATTATAAATTTAAACTGTAAAAAAACTTTAAGACCTGGCTAAAAAAATTTTATTAACTTAAATTTATATTTGTTATAAAAATCTTATACATACTTGAAAAAATTATAATTTTATCCTTTTAAAACTTAATAAAATCTTTAAGAAAAAAATAAATTAAACTAAATAAAAATAAACTTTTAAAAATAAAATTTAACTGTAAAGAAAAAAATTAAGAAATCTTAATAAATATTTTAGCAAAAAGGAATCAAACAAATAAATTTTCTTTCTTAAAGAAATAAATAAGCAAAAAAAAGAAAACTAAAAATAAAACGTATTTAAAAATAATTAAGCGAAGAATACTTTTCTGACTGACCAAGCCATTTCGAGATCAAAGAAGAAGAAGAAATAGAAAAAAAAGTAGATTTTGCCTCTGTAGCAACGGCCTTAGCTAGAAAAGATTTCCCTGTGCCCGGAGGCTGGAAGATGTAAAAAAAGAGGTTAACATTGAACTTCTGTTAAGCCTTTATAAAGAGTATGAAAGTGAAACATATAAAAATATAAAACTAGTTATTAACTAAAAAAGTAAAAACTAATAAAACTTATTATGAGTAGAAAAGAATAATAAAAAGAATCTTTAATTGTAAACTCTTTTTATATTTTTTAGTTAAAATTATTTGATTATAAAAAATAAATATAAAGAATCAAGCCCAAAGAAGACTTACACCGTAGAGCAGAATACCACTCCAGGGAGTGCGGTTCCCAGTAAAAAGATGCGGAAATTTCAAAGGCAGGATGACGGCTTCTTTTAAAGCTTCCTTGGCCATTTCAAGTCCTTAAAAATATATTTATATACTAATTTAACGATATAATATCTTAATGTAAATGTGAAGTTTTTTAGGATAACGCGATTTAGTAAGTGTGGTAAAAAAAAATAAAATTTAACAATGCCTTCGTGGAAAGTTATACACTTTGGCCAGCCAAATTGTTTAGGCAAAGCAAAATACCGAAGGGTGCCAAGTCCGTGAATAAAAATGGTGAAAATTTAAAATAACTTCTACTACGTAAAACTTTTTATTATTGCGAATGCGGAAGAAGTGCCTTCGCTCACATATCTTTTAACAGCGCGAAGTCCACAACTTGTTCTTTTCAATTTACTTAATCAACAATAAATATTTTTTAATAATCACAGCAGTGGTCATCTTCCAAAGAGTCAACAAAACTTTAGTCACTACTTCTTTAAAGAAGTTTCACTAATCCTTTTTAATTATAAACTAGTGAATGTCCAGTACAACTCATTAGATTCGCTAAGGACTACCTCAAACTGCGATTTTAAGCCCTTTTTCAAGAGTCAACACCGCATTAATTAATGTAACATTTAAATTTCTCGCAAAAAATATATTAGAAAATAAAGTGTTCATTGAGCCGGCATTGAAGTACAGCAACTTTCTGTTACAAATTATTAACTTTCAAAACGAATTCCCTTAAAGTTATATCCAAAAGTTAACCAACTTTCACCACACTTACCAAACCGCTCAGCATAATCATAAATAGCTATTTTTACAGTAAACGTAGACAACCAGCGACATCTTCCCACTTGACATTAGGAATCTCCGAAACAATCGCATCCATGAGTCCTTTTTGCAAGTCCCTTTTTTCATCATCGTCACTCGCCTTACTGTATGAATGAAACAGTTGGCATTCAATTATACGAATAGAAATAGTAAAAAAAAAATACTAGTAAAGTTCTACAAATGGTATAAAAAGATAATTAGAATAAAAATATCTCAAGGAAGTAAAATTATTCTATTAATTTTCGCCAGAAAAAAAAAGAAGTTTCCTTGCAACTTACCCATTACCGGTAGCGCCACCAGAGCCTTGAGCCATCGGCGTTTTTTTTTGTTTCTTATCAAGATATTCTTTAAGCTGTTCTGCTCTGGTAAGATACTGGTTGACTTTGCTACTTATAGTTTCTTTCATTTTAACATTTTTTTCATCTATAGGTTGACGAACCGAAAGCATTAATATGTAATATAAGCTTATTAATAAGTAAAGGAATAATATGAACATTTAATGGCATAAGTAAAATATTCTAATGCTTGAACATAAAGCTGATAAGCTTCGGAATAGTTCTCACTGCGGTCTTCGGTAGCAGCCCTGTTAACCAGTTCTTTAGCCTTTTCTATGAAATTAATGGAACTTGACATGGCAAGTTAGCGATATGGCCCTAATGGATTTGTACTATTTTGAAAATAATATTTATATATTATAAAATTATACTCAAATAGTGCTACTCCAACTAAACTTCTTTAAAGTTCTCCAACCGGGCACAGAAGCAATAATTTACGAAGAATGAAAAAGAAAGAACCAAATCTTAAAAGGAAGGGGGCCACCCTATATTTTGCACGACCGACGTGGTTTTTAAATGCCAAGCGAATGGGATTACAGACACATACTTAAATAAAAGATAACCCCACTTCCAAAGCCTATGCATTTAGCAGTAAATGCAAAGAGTATTCATTAAAAGTAGAAAAAAAAATTATAAACTTAATTTAACTTCATAATATGCCCCTAAAATTTCATAATTACTGAAAGAATTCTAAATTTTTTAAATAAGATCAACGAAAAAAAACCCATCTTCAGTTATAATTCCACCTTCTAATAGAAAACTAACTTAAGATTTAGTAAAAGCTAAATTTTTGTTCCTTTGTTAAAAAGAATATGAATATTATTTACCTTGTCATAAAGTTAAAAATGGAACGAGGAAGGTATCTAATTCCATATGTAAATGTGGATCATTATTTTTTGGGTGTTGAACACGGGTTTTTTGCAGGCTTTTTTACTACAAGCTCTATAAAGTTGTAAACTGGTAGCTTAGTATACTATTAGAAATAAATGTTAACCTTTTAAGTTATTTTATTATACTATTAGTGGTAATATAATAGCTAGTGTTGAAAGGCTCAGCAACACCTTAAGAAAAAATATTATACTGCGTTTTGGGTAATACTCAATGTTAGCCGTAAACAGATAATATTTGGTAGTGGAAATTTGTAGAGTACTCTGACTTATTATTAATAGGGAGTGAGTTGGAATAGGTTTGACCAAGATCCTCTTATACCAACATGCGCGCACAGTCGAAAGCCAATTTGTTACTATTAAAATAAATTATTAAACAAACAAATCTTAAAAAATGTGTAAAGACAACAATTTGTTGAGGTATAAACAACTTTAAAAACATCCATGAACACTAAGAATAACAGCTCTTAAACATAATGTAATGCTCTCAGTAAGTAATTGATATATTTACTAGGGTAATTCTTTATGAGATTCAAACCCTAAAGCTTGCACTTCTGGTGCATAGTGTTAATTAGTAAGCCCACCATTATAAGTATAACAAAATAATGGTGCTACCTTGGCCAAATTTAAAACTGGTGTTATGTTAACCAATAAACTTTATAAAATTTTTTATTTATATAGATTTCCTGTTCTTAGATTCGAATCATACTGGTCTCCATCTCTTTCTGTGGGTGGTTTTATATGGATTTCCACCACTCCTAACAGAATGGCGTGCGTCCGGGTTTTGTTTTCGCCAAGCCTTAGCTACTCCATACAATGATCCTTCCTCGGGTTCGTAGCGCAATGGGCTCGCCGTGATATATATATATACTAGTAAATAGCACTATTTCCTAATAGTACAATACCTATTACTATAGTACTAGCGCTCCTAGTCTCCGGTGAGTCGAATGTACTTGTAGTTACTATACTATTCATATAGTACTAGTATAATTCTATCGGTTTGCTTCAGAAGTTGTTTCCCATCAAGGGTTAGTTCCTAAAAAACCGGAGGCCTATGGACGTAGGCTAGTGCTATTTAAGTCACTCATCATACAAGCCTATGCAGCGAACTCTTTCGAAAGGAGTTATGAGCTAGAATCCGCAGTACTTGTAGGATTTAGCTGATTCTGTCAACATATATAGCCGTATAAGTTGAGTTCCACAGCTCATCTTGTGTCAAATTACAGGGAACGTACACACAAGATGGCAACCCTAGTATACATCGCGCCAGATTGAGAATAAGAAGTTACACCAATAGGTCAATAGGATTCAGCTGTGTGCAAAACTCTAGTTTCGATACTAGTACCTGAGTTCATCGTATGATTCCTTCAGGCTGAGATAAGGCAACATCCTACCTGATCAGGGAGGTTAACACCAGCCTCAAGAACCTATCTGCTGCGTGGTTTTTACCATTTTTAAGAGTATGCTTATTCAACATGCGTCCAACCTACGTCTCTCCATTGTAGTACGCATGTTTCCACATGGTTAGATCGTGAAGAGCAACCATATTCAGACCAAGCGTTTTAACTTTCAATACAGAGCTAATCGCTTAAGTTTACTTAAGATATTTTCGACAAAAGTCACCGAAAGCGTCTGATATTAGAGGGTTCTTAACCACCACAAGGTTGTATTTAGTTTATACATGCATACTAATCCATTTATAGATGGCAACCTTTAGTCAACGATGGCTATTTCTAGTTACCGGAAGACACCAGGAATAACCAACACAGCGGGGCTTATATATATAGAGGCCAATCTTTTTTGGCCGCTTTACGGTGGCAAACGTCTAGGTGATACCGCATCTCAGAAGTTAAACCAAAGAATGTGTCTAAACTTACCGAGAGTCTCAAGACTTGACTAATAGTCGAAGGAATTTTATTACTCCTAACGATCCCACTAAGGTTGCCAACCTCTTGCAGTTAGCTTTAGTTGTAGATGGCCAGCAGCTAACGACCTTACTTTCTGCAGTCGCAGCTAAGTTTATCGAGAAATTTTAAAATTCTCTTATACTTAAAAATTCGAGTGCTTAAATATTCTATATAATAGCTCTTTTTTTGATGATTTTAAAAAAAATAACATAAAATGTCAAAAAACTGCTAGTATATATAAAAATAACATAACAAGTTTTTTTATTCATTTAATTTATTATTATATTATATTATTATTACATTGTATTATTTATTAAATTCTTTATGCTCTACTTTAAAGTAAGCACTAGATTTACTGCAAGTTAAGTTCTCACAGCCGTCGAGGATCATAGTCGAGGCTATAAGTAGGATTTAATTAAAATATTTTCCTTTAATAAGGATTTAAGAAAAAAGCTAGCTTAATTTTTAATCTGTTTTATTAACTTTAGTATGATGAGCTATTTTGGTAAAGATAACGATAAAATAATACTGTTATAATTTCTAAAGCCAGCTATTCACATAAAAGATCATTTCAGGCGTGTACCTAACTACTATTGTTATAAACAATATTGAGCTTCAGTGTCTAAGCTTATTTGAATTATTTTACTTGTACTACATTTATAAAGCTTATCTGAGTAACTTTAGCTACAAATTAGAGTTCTTTCTCTTGGGTCTATCAATCTTAGGATTAATAGGCTTTACTTTAATAAAGTAAAATTCGTTAGGACAAAGCTAATACTTCCCATAATTGTTATTTCACTTCTTTTTACCAGTCATTTTGAGTTAATTAGCCTGTGTTTAGACAACTAAGTAAAAGACCAGGAGGCTTTTATAAGACAAAGGTACTACCAAAGGGTACGTCCCAACATTAGATTTCATGCTCTATTTAACTCCCATAGGGGCCTCTTTCACCTGCACTTCACAGTGGTTTTGCATATACCTGTTATCTCTTTAGTTAGCTTAACCTAGATAAAGGTATACAAGGCTTCGTAGCTATTTGCTATGGACGTTTCTTTACTCAATGCTAAGTCCCTGTCAATGATTATTTGTATATTAGCTTTTGCTGAATAAATAGTCTTTAGAGCAGTTAGTCAGATGGCGTTAGCCACTAGGATAGAGGAAACAGGTGAGGAATTAGCCTATTGTTCGATAACCAAGGTCACTTCCTAGTTTTGATATCATTACTAGTTTCTTCCTAATAGATTTAAGAGTTTAGAAGTAAGTTATTTAACCTTGGAAAAGTTTATACTTTTGTATAACAAAACTAACAATCTAGAAATGCTAGCTCATTAAAGGTTCTACCAAAGTAGAACGAAAAAAAGTCAAAGTTAAGATTATCTTCTTGCTCTCACTGTTAGACCCTTTGGGCGACTACAAGCCGTCCCAGAGGCAAAATGTCTGCCTTTCCTGGGCTCCGAGCGTAATAGAAAGAAGGTTAATCTTAATTCTTTACTTTGACTTTTTTTCATTCTACTTTGGTAGAACCTTTAATTAGCTAACATTTCTAAATTGTTAGTTTTTTTGTACAAATTTATTTAAACTTTACAGTTGTAATAAAGTGCAACATAACCAAAACGAGCTGGCTAATTTAAGGAAGCTATAAAACTTAACCAGCTCGGTCGATAATCCCCCCTTCTCATTAGAAGGGTAAAAGTGACAGGAAATTTAATATCTTTTCCCACACTGTTAGGTCCAACCGTTATGGTTGGATGACTTGTTTAACAAGTCTCCTTAGGGGCTAAAGCCTTGCCTAAGGTCCAAGGGACATTGAAGCTTTAATTTCCTTAGTTACTTATACCTTTCTAATGAGAAGGGGGATTATCGACCGAGCTGGTTAAATTTTATAGCTTTCTTAAATTAGCCAGCTCGCTTTGGTTACTTTGCACTCTATTACCACTACAAAGTTTAGATAAATTAATATAATTTGCTTTGAAGCACCAGTACTCTATTATTAACTACCTTAGAAATGGTTTAAATGAAATAAAATAAGATCAAATCAAATAAAATCTAATAATAAATTGTTAACTAGTTAGTACTTAACTTATTACCAGGTTTACACTAACAAGATGTTACTTGGTCTACGGTTAATATAGACTGCGCTAGAGTGTCGAATGTTCTATTCATTTACTTAAAACTCTTGTGTTCATGGAATGTAAGATTGTTCTATTACTGTACAATTATTCTATTGCGGTAGCATTCTTATAGTTACTTTGAATGAGTCATAGTGCTATGAAATACAACTTGATTAGAGCTCTATGTCAACTGTACCGTGACTAAGTATATGACATCGTTAGGGGGCTAAGCTTGACTATCAAGAACACAGCAACCCTAACAACAGAACTCAAGAACATGACCTAACTTTACCCTAAGTATTAAAATCTATTTACTAGGTAATTACGCCATTGTATAATTTAGATTATTAATTAAGTACAATGTTGCACAGTAGTTGAGAGGTAATATAACAGCCTTTAGAACCCTGACTAAGGTGCCTTACTTTGGGGTTCAGTAAATTCAGTGTAGGCATGTAGTACGTAAAGCTGCAAGTGATGTCTTAAATATAATTCAATATTCCACCGTCATAGGTAATTGATCTTGAATGGTAAACATTT